AGAATCCTATAGATCTACTCCTTTCTTCAGATGGCAAAAGGACATACATATCCACAAAATTTTAAGAGCAGAAAGAGACCTTAGAGATCAAGTCCAACTTTTTTTTTTAGATGAGAAAACTGAGACGCAGCAAGGTTAGCAAAAGTAGGTAATAGATAAGAGAGGATTAAATCTTACTTATGAAATAAAAGAATGTTGTTAGGTGAAATTCGGCCCATTGCGCTATGAAGCGCGATGGGAGAAGCAGTGTATTTCTAGGTAATATGATTGAGTTCCTTAATGGAAAAGTAAGATTTTCACTTATATTTATTAGCTATTATAGCAGAAGATGCCCAGAGAGGCAAAGAATAGTTGTATTCATCTATACCTGGTATAGATGGAAAGAGAGACAAGGGAAGAGACAAGAATACATGATGACCCAACAATCTTCAAAAGCAGAGGTGGCAAGTACATATCATTCAACTGGTCAAGTCCATGGCAGGAATCTCTGCTAATCCCACAGTCTCACAACTCTTCTCAATACAATGCTCCTGGCAGCCACTACTCATGGATTAGAATTGGCACACCAGTTAGAACCTACTTACTATTGTTGTTCTCGCTCTGTCGCCAAGGCTGGAGTGCAGTGACACGATCTCGGCTAACTGCAACCTTGACCTCCCAGGCTCAAACGACAGCCTTGTGCCTCAGCCTCTTGAGTAGCTGGGGATACTGGCATGTGTCACCACAGCTGGCTAATTTTTTGTGTGTGTATTTGTAGTAGAGATGGGGTTTCACCATGTTGGCCAGGCTGGTCTCGAATGCCTGGCCTCAAGTGATCCATCTGCCTCAGCCTTCCAAAGTGCTGGGATTACAGGCCTGTTGTACATTCTTTAAAAGGCTCTGTTTCTGTTTGGGGATTTGTTTTTGAAGTTGCTGTTCAGCCTGCCCACTGTCTTTTTCACTTGATATTATTTCCTGTTCTCAATGAGCTCTCTCTATTCTTCCCAATCTGTTGGTGCAGTACTTCTTAAATTTTAATGTGTATGTGCATCACCTGATGATCTTGTTAAAAAGAAGATTCTGATTCAGTAGGTCTGATATTCTGCATTTCCACCAAGCTCTCAGGTGATGCTGATGATGCTGGTTCACCAACCACATTTAAAAGAAGGTTACTTACTCCTCAAATAACCTGAGAGAGAGTAACCATTATTGTGGGAAAATAAGCAATCAAGGGCAAAAGGAAAGTACCACAAAGAGTGTATCAAGAAACCACACTCTGAACTCTAATGTCTAATTATGCCAGAGCTCCTGAATTTGGCTTCATCCATGAATTTTTGGCTTTGCAAAGACTTTCATGGGCAATCTACCAACCCTAATACCCAGTCTCCTGAGCCGCACTAGGTCACATTTCAAGCCTGACACTGAATTGCAGACCTATTACTGACTTAAGCAAATGTCTCAGTGAGGGCAAATTTAAAATATTTTCTAAGGAATAATGGAATAATATCAATTAATAATACAAGCAAACAAAAATGCACAATAGAAAAACACTTTCAGTATTATTATATCAGTTGCATTCAAAATCTACAAATATTCAGGAAAGGTATACATTCTACATATTAATTTTCACTCACACCTTGTAACTGCATAAAAACATATCCACACTTTAAAAACTACACAATATTTTGTTCTAAATTTAGATCATTTACTGTATTTTTCTAAATTTGATCCAGAGTTTCAAATTCCTACAGCTAAAAAGAGCAAAAAAACTATTCTAAATCTTTTCCAGGGAGAGCCTCTTTTAACATTAATTCTTAAATCATTCAGTGTTGTCTAAGATTTATTTTTTAAAAAAAGAAAAAAAAAGAAAGAAATCTGTCTCCTTCAGTTAAGATTCAATCTTTACTTCAAAAAAAACCTCATTTCTTTTTTTTCTGAAACCTGCTCCTAAATTTTCTTGGAGCCTTTTATTAATGAAGTAATGAAGAAAAAGAGTAAGAGAGTGCTTTTTATCCTTTCTGTACTTTTGCAAAAAAGACATTAACGTGAATGACTGGGAAACTTAGAACTTTTGTATTTACTATATAAGGATCTCTAAAGTTCAATAGAGCAAACACTTAAAACATCACAGAAAACCTGGGTGGAAGGAGTCATGACAGACTGTACCAAAGGAGAAAACGGTAATTAACAAATATTTAAAAAGCAGAAAAGGGTTCCTTTATTGTCTTAATCAACCAGGCTAGAAAGAAATGTTTGCACACTGATTCCAGAGAGAAGTAGTATCTGCTTTGCACCAAATTTGAGCTAAAGGGGCCTTAGAAATCATTTATACAAATCCTCTCATCGTGTTGGTTGAAACTCAGGCCCAAAGATGGTTAAAGAAGTGGAATAATAAATGCACCAAGCTAATAACAATCCTCTGAAAGACTTTTAAATTATACATAAGAAAATAATCAAGCATGCTCTTGGCCAAAAAGGGCCAGGCTTAACAAAATAACATAGAAAAGGCAAATTTAAAAAGCAAATGTTTACCAAGAGAGAAAAATACTGTGCCTACTCTCCTCTAGCCTCCTTGCCTAAGAACTGAAAAAATCCTACATGTCAAATCAGATTCAGAAGGTACCCCTTTTTATCCTTTCTGATAGAATTTTCCATTCTTCTACATGGCTCTTACCAGTGTAACTTTGTTTGCTCACCTATGTACATATATGGGTCCTCAACTATGCTACAGGATTTGCAAGAGCAGGCTGTGTCATCATCTTTTGTATAACTCCAAAGTATATTTAGTTTGATTCTATATACAGTCTTAACAGATGCTTAATGAGTTAGTGTATAATCAAATGTAATCACCTTTCCTATATTAGATCTCTTCTGTTTTATTCTCATTAGCAGTTATACTTGAAGAAATTCTGACTGATATACTTCATGGTTCTATTCTTCTAGTCTAAACTATACAGGAGGCTCAACATACTTATTTACCTAAGAAATTATTGCTTCATAGACATGCCTATAGGAAACTAACAGGAATGCAAAAGTGGGAGGATTACATAAGTAAGTATAGGTAGACCATTCAAATTTAATGTTACAAGAATGAATAGAATACTGGTAATTTTAAATCCCTAAAACTTTTAGAATATTGGCCAGGCGCGGTGGCTCATGCCTGTAATCCCAAGCACTTTGGGAGGCCAAGGTGGGTGGATCACCTTAGATCAGGAGTTCGAGACCAGGCTAGCCAACATGGCGAAACCCCATCTCTACTAAAAATACAAAAATTAGACAGGTATGGTGGCATGCGCCTGTAGTCCCAGCTACTCGGGAGGCTGAGGCAGGAGAATCGCTTGAACCCGGGAGGCAGAGGTTACAATGAGCCGAAATCACTTCACTGCACTCCAGCCTGGGTGACAGAGCGAGACTCCATCTCAAAAAAAAAAAAATTAAAAAAGTAAACAATTTAAAACAAATTTTAGAATATTTATAAGACGCATTTAGTAAAACAAGTTCACAGGGAATTATGTTAATGCTTTTATCAATGCCCCCACCCAAAATGAAATTGAGTATACACACATTAGTACTACATAGGAGGAAGGTTGCCAATCCCATGGAAAAACTAATGTTCACATAAATATTCCACTTAAAAAGATAAAATTCAATGCCAAAAAAGGAAGTAAATTTAATGATATAATTAAAAGAACCATGATAGAGAATAGAAGAAATTCTCAGAATGTCTTACACTGATTAGTACAGTTTTGATAACTGCTATCTTATCATTTTCAAAAAGTATACAAAGCATAAAAATGTGTGGGAAAAAGCATGTAAGGCGGTATATGAACGGGAAATGAAGAATGAGGCTAAAACTTAAGTTTTTGGCTTATGGGCTGATCTTTGTGCTAGAGAGGCATTTGATTTATGTGTATCTGTGTAATCCACATATGAGTGATTTTTTTTTACTTCATTTAATCCTAGTAACTACCCAGCAAAAAATTACCATATTCTCATTAATCAGATATAGAAACTGACATTCAGAAGTGGGATTAAGCATCTTGTCCAATCTTCCATGACTTCGAGTGGCAGAGCTGGATATGAACAAGGCTGCTTGACTCTTAGATCAATTAAGACAACAAACTGTTTGGGAGGCCGAGGAGGGTGGATCACGAGGTCAGGAGATCGAGACCACCCTGGCTAACATGATGAAACCCCATCTCTACTAAAAATACAAAAAAGTTAGCCAACCCTGGTGGTGGCGCCTGTAGTCCCAGCTACTCAAGAGGCTGAGGCAGAGCTTGCAGTGAGCCTAGATCGTGCCACTGCACTCCAGCTTGGGGGACAGACCGAGACTCCATCTCAAAAACAAACAAACAAAAAAAAAACTAAACCCTTTTTCCCATCTCCAGAAGACACAATTCTTAAATTGCATCCGAAAAACTTAGTCTGATATAAAGAAAAAAATAACAGAAAAGTTTCCTCCAGAAATTTGCCAAAACCAGGTTGATACCGCATAAAAACAATAATAACCTGCAATGCTTCTAATGTTTTCAGCATTCATCTGCCTTAGACAAGTCTAGGGGAAGTCCCAAATAACCTAACTATCCCTGCTAGAATTATGCTTTTATAATTCCAAGTGACCAACAGCATATACTTGTATAAGTAATGCTTAAAATGAATAGTTTTAACATGAATCAATAAAACTGGAGAACAATTATATAAGAATCACAATCTAACTTTAAAAAGTCCAAATACAAATAGATATCACAACAGTATAAATTACTCTCAATCTACAGATGAGAAAATTAAGGGTACAGTAATAAACCAATAAAAGACCAAGAAAAGGAGAAAGCAAGTCTCATTTTATTCCACTTTTGGTGGTTTGCTATAATGCTTTTCTTTCTACCAACAACCTTTATGAAAATTATTAATAAAATTCAAAGAATCAAAATCCTATAACATTCTAATTACAAATAAAGCTGACAGACTAGACAGCAAAAAATCACTGAAGAAAATACACAACAAAATATGAGACATACCTGAGATACATCATCAAGTTGAAATTTCCCATAAAGACCAGAGATACTTTCAGCCCGCATGAGATACTCAGCTGTTCTTCTCTTTACAGCTTCTCGACGGGTAGGGCTTGACTCTCCTAAAAAAAAAAAAATCTGAACATGTAAAAAATAACCTTTCTTCAGTTCAACCTGAAAATTAACTTCCTTGTACCCAATGTGCAGCTTATTCACGTTTCTAACTGAAAAGAAGAGATATTCAAAATTGGAAAAGACATGAAAGTTATTAATATCAACCAAGTCTAACTATTACCCCCCATTATCATTTATCCAAATTCTAACATTCTCCTATTTAAGTATGTATTGATAATTTGATGTATTTTAGTAGGAGTCAAATATATAAGAAATGTCTATCTGTAAAAAGCTCTGAAGATAAAAAGACTAGCCCTAGTCCAGACATTATACAGCTAAGCAACTCAACAAACAGGACCAAATGCAACAGATGTGTGTGTGTGTGTGTGTGTGTGTGTGTGTTTGTGTGTGTGTGTTTACAACCTTGGATTTTTCTAAAAACCAAATCCTACAAAATAATGTTTCCTGGTTTGCTGAACTGAAGTGAAATGAATTATAAAAAAGAGATAATTTCTCCCAAAAGACTACTAGTAGAACCCTCTTCTTATTTCTGCCTGGAACAGCATCTCCTCCTGCTTCCGGGGAAATGACCCTTTCTTCTTCCCATCATACTCTTCTACCACTTCCCCCCATCACTAACCAGGTGGTTTGAATGAAAGCTGCTTTCTTGTTTCAGATGTCAGTCCCTCTAATCACCAAGGTCCATTTAGCCAAGGGTGGGCCCCCCTAGTCACAAGCTGAGCCAATCATAGAACCCTATCCTCCTGGCCACAGTTTAAGAAGGGGGGAATTAGCACAACACAAACTGGACTGTCTTTGTTATTCAAGCTGTAAATAAGAGGAGTAGGAATTGCCAACAGCCGGTTTCTGCCAATGCAAAAAAAGGCCAATGTGAAAAAACAAAATTGACTCAGAAAGCAGATATGGGAGACTTAAAAGGAAAATAGAAAGAAATCCCAGTGTTTTCAGGTGAACCTACATTCCTCTAACATAACTGGCATCGGCAAAGCCACATTCCTGCCCTTCTTTCCCTGAGGTAGTTCAAATTTGGATTTCCGCACATGCAAACCAAAGAATTTTGACTAAATACAGACCTCAGCGAAAAGCTGCAACAAAGTTGGGATTGCAATTTTGCTAAATAACTTCCCTTTCACACCTTTTACATTACAATTTCATCTCTTCTCTCTTTCATGAGGAATTCACAAATATAACTGGTCTTGGTGGGGGAAAAAATTCTATTGCTTTTTAACCGTGGAACCATCTACATTTATTTATTAACTCCTCAACCCGCAATTAAAATGTCAGTGTACTTCTGCCTCTACCCTTACAATCTGCTTACTTCCTAAATGCAAGGTTTTAGAGGGCTTTTCTACTCAGTTGAAAAATAAGTATCTTCTGTGAAAATCACTTAAATAACTATAACATACTTTGAAGATAAACATGCCATATAATAACAGCTATTCACTATTTCTACACAATACTAGTCCTTTGGTTTAGGGTTTACTGTGTCTAGAGTCTGCTATTTCCATTCTCACTAGCTCTTCTCATTTCAGATTATGCCTTCCAAGCCCTAATTTAAATCCCCATTTAAGATTTTTGATTCACCTTAGGCTCAAATATAATAAAAACTATGGCAATTTACCTTTAAATTCAGTGTATTTAAGCTTTAATAACATTTCAAAATTTGTTTCGTGAAAAAAAATCAACTCATCTCACAATATAATTTGGAATTCGAAAACGCCAAGATATGGAACACCTAGTTAAAGCTAGAGTTAAAGCCATATTTTATAATCAAATTACTATTTTTTAAACTTTTGGTTTTTCTGCCACTTTCTAGGCAGTCTCCATAGCAACAGAGAAACAAGAACCAGAAGCCAGAAGTTGAAATGGACTCCTGCTGAATATGGTGGTTCCACTTCCAAGGAAACTACAATGAAGTGATGGAAATACTGAAAGGCTTTTTAAATGTAGCCTTATATATAGGCCAGGGGCAGTGGCTCATGCCTATAATCCCAGCACTTTGGGAGGCCGAGGCAGGCAGATCCTGTGAGGTCAGGAGTTTGAGACCAGCCTGGCCCACATGGAGAAACCCCATCTCTACTAAAAACACAAAATTGGCCAGGCACGGTAGCTCATGCCTGTAATCCCAGCACTTTGGGAGGCCGAGGCAGGCGGATCGCGAGGTCAGGAGATCGAGACCATCCTGGTCTACTAAAAACACAAAAACTTAGCTGGGCATGGTGGTGGGCAACTGTAGTTCCAGTTACTCGGGAGGTTGAGGCGGAGAATGGCGTGAATCCAGGAGGCAGAGCTTGCAGTGAGCCAAGATCGCGCCACTGCACGCCAGCCTGGGCGACAGTGCGAGAGACTCCATCTCAAAAAAACAAAAACAACAACAACAAAAAACACAAAATTAGACAGGCATGGTGGCGGGTACCTGTAATACCAGCTACTCATGAGGCTGAGGCAGGAGAATCACTTGAACCCGGGAGGCAGAGGTTGCAGTGAAGTCAGATCGTGTCACTGCACTCCAGCCTGGGCGACAGAGTGAGACTCGGTCTCGGAAAAAAAAAAGTAATCTTATATGTAAATACTATGGTTCCTTCCTCATCAGTCCCTTAAAAGGAGGTCATCATCACTGCTGATCAATAGCAGCATTCAAGAATAAAAACTATCTCTTGAAGATTTCTGCTCCTGGATGCTTATTCAGGTTTGTCAGCATCAGCAAAAAAAAAAAAAAAAAAGCTGACTCTATAGATTTCCAGGATATTTCTAACTAGTCAAATTATTGACAAATGTGACTTTAAACAGATTTTAATTGACTAAAAAATGTTTAATTAACTCTAATCTGCTTGATTTCTTGTTCTCCATTTTAAAATACGCACACACACAGTCCACAATGATTATTTGTTAATCATTCAGCTAGAGCAAGAATTTCTACTGGGCTTATGCATTCAACATAAAAAAACTTACGCATTCAAAAAAGAAAAACTAGGCTGTGGCTCACTCCTATAATCCCAGCACTTTGGGAGGCCAAGGTGAGAGAACTGCTTGATCCCAGGAGTTCAACACAAGCCTGGGCAACACAGCAAGACCCCATGTCTGTCTCTATTGAAAATACAAAAATCAGCCAGACATGTTGGTGCGCACCTGTGGTTCCAGCTACTTGGGTGGCTGAGGCGGGAGGATCACTTGAACCCGGGAAGTCATGGCCGCAGTAAGCCATGCTCATGTCACTGCATGAACCACTGCACTCCAGCCTGGGGAACAGAACAAGATTCCGTCTTTAAAGAAAAAAGAAAAGAAAAACTGTTCCCATTATTCAATAACCTTTATGTTAAAAAGTTCTGGTGTATCATAAAAGATGTCTTAATGTGGATTGTGACAACCTGTGTTTCTTCACCTTCTCAATTTCTGATCATACAGGGTGATTATAGTGTGTGATCTCTGACAGGGAGTGGCTGAGTAGATGTGAGGAGAAAATCCAAAGTTGTTGATGAAATTTACAGAAACACTTAATTACCCATCCTGTGTTTCTCAGTGCACCATCTCTGACTTCAGTCACTAAGGAAAGTTTTATAGAAGGCATGGTATACAGATAACGGAATCCAGAAATTCTAACTTATCCAAGAAGCCATCACCGTTTGGTACCCTTCATTATACTACATTCTATTTATAAGAAATATATTATTTTCTTTCATAAGAAAATCAAGTCTCAAGAATGTGAAATGTCTTTCTCAGTTACACAGTTACTTTAAGAGCCTGAACCTAAACCAGGTCTTACACCATACTTCAGGGTACTTGCCACTATCTTAAGCTACCTTTCAATATAAAGTACTGTAACTGAATTTGAATTTGATTATTCAACTGTTCCTGAATAGAACAAGAAAAATACAGAGCATGGGAGAAGTACAGGTGAGTATGGAAACAAAGATACAGAGAAATAAACATAAGAAGTTGAGAAAGGTGCCTGTCAGGCAACAAAACAAAGTGGAATCAGAATGGAGAGACAAAGACAACAGACAAACATACAGGAGAACTGGAGCTACAAAGAGGTATATGTCATACCATATAAAAGACAATAGGCCTTTCTGGAAAAAACTAGTCTCTTGAACATCTTTATTACCCAAATATTTATTTGGAAAACAATGGCCTTTTCTCATTTACCCATTTAAAAAAAAAATCAAGGGGCATTTTTACTCATGGAACTAATAAAATTCATTTAGCAACCTAGAATAAAAAATAGTTCTTCCAATTCTACCCTAAGTCACTAAAAAGAATATAACTAACAGCCTCATCATTTGTTTAACAAAAGAAAAGCCATGCTGGAGGAAGAACAAGCCAATTTAAACATCTTGAAAGACAATGTGTCTGTATCTGTGTTTCATGGGAAATTTTAAGGGGTTATTAAGAGTATTTTGACTCTATTTGATTTTTGCCACATGCACAGAACTTAATCCCCACATAAGACTCTACTTAGTCACATTTTATTATATTCTTATTTTTATTTCGCTACACCACAAATACTCTCCCAGTGGGCCCTGTGCTTAGTCGAGCATGCTTGATTTCATTCAGATTTATCACAACAGAAAGAACATCCAAATCAAACTGGGTTTGAGTTTCTGTTTGTTGCTGCTTTTTTGCTTTCTTTTTTTTTTTTTTTTTTGACAACTTTAGTCACATAAAAGAAAACTCACGCTTGAGATGGCCTTGGTAGTTATAGTTAGTTTTTTTTAAGTGCTGATTTATTACGTTTAATGGTGTTTTGTTCTTTTCAGGTACAGCCTACCATTTCTGCCTTATGCTAAGTGTTCTGACAACAAAAGGCAACCTTGAGAAGAACAGTAATTTATAGTTCTACACGTCTACCACAACTCTGAAGCCATCAGCCTTTCCATGTATAACATGAGCCAGTCAGGGAATCTGATTTCCATTTGCATTTAGTCAACCCCCTATTAATGTTTTTTCAAAACCAATTTCATGTGACCCCTAGAAATTCAGAGAGCCA